GGAAACTTATCAACTCCCTCCCGCTCGATAAATCCATGCAGTTTAAAAAAGCCGGAGGGGCTGGCGAGGTGGCTGGAGAGTTGAATGCACAGAGAGGGGGGGGGAAAGTCAGACTGCGAACCCCATCTGAGTCCTCCGTCATTCGCGACACACACTGATGATGTGTCCCTTTTGCAAGAAGATCCTGGAAATTCAGATACAGAGGAACTGAAATCTCAACCTCTGGCTTCTGAACGCACTGAGCTGTCCGGCCAGCAGCAAACGGACCGTGTTTGGCTCAAATGTTTACCGCACGGGCAAAGCATTTATACACGCATTTCAAAAGAAGATCATTATTCATCCTAGCGCTGCTACGGTTCTTCTCTTAAGATTAATAGCGTTATTAATAACGGCCGCAACACAAGCTGACCGCTGGGTGTTCTGTAACTCAGGTAGCGGCTTAACCTGTCCGGTCGGGTGGAAACAATGACGAGGCTTGGCTACCTGCCCGGTCCCCGATGGGTATTAATTTCCTCCCGTCCATTAACTCGGCGAGGAAAATGGCCGGGGTCACTCGGTCTCAAGTTACCTGCCGACGATTAAAGACGGCTGTGTCCCAGAGCAGGTGACCTGGTTTTGAGATCTCTCGGTAGCCGAGCCATCCAGATTTCTAATCGGGGCCTCTCAAGAGACAGGAGGAAAATGAAGATGATTGTAAAGTGATAATGATGATCATCCTGGGCTTTAAGCATTAGATTCCTGTTTCCCTCTCAGCCAGAAGCTCATAATTTCCACAATGCCTGTTGCATACCTGGGGTACTTACTTACTTATTTACTTACTTACTTACTTACTTACTTACTTACTTACTTACTTACTTACTTACTTACTTACTTACTTACTTACTTACTTACCTACCTACCTACCTACCTACCTACCTACCTACCTACCTACTTACTTACTTACTTACTTACTTACTTACTTACTTACTTACTTACTTACTTACTTACTTACCTACCTACCTACCTACCTACCTACCTACCTACTTACTTACTTACTTACTTACTTACTTACTTACTTACTTACCTACCTACTACCCAATTAATTAATTCATGCTACTCCGGGCAGTGTATAAACAAGCAAACCCCTGGACTGGAAACAATATGCTCCTGATCCAGGCAACAGAAAAATGCTTTTATCTCCAATCAATGATCAGAGATAAGAAGACACACAACCTTGCATGACCTTCTAAACTTGGCATGCAGGTTTAGTCCTTGGCAGAGACGCCTGGTATTTTTGTACATTGGGATGGAAATTTTTGAAATTCAGGACGAAAACTAGGGCAGAGCAATTGGGCTTTTTAAAAAAATATTATTTTATTTTTAAGTCTCAGGAGTGCCAACAGAGCTAGTTATGGCTCTGTCAAAATTGGTACTAATAACCTTTCATTCCAGCTGCTTTGCTTTGGCTTTCATTCTACTGATGTTCAGACATTTCCCAAATGGAATTAGCTCCAGTCCTGCAAAAAAGAAAAGACTATCCAGTCCTCACTCTTTTAGACTTTGGGGGAATATTGACTGTAGGAACCAGGATGGACAGAAGATAGATCAGGCTACACCCAGAAAAGTTCTGGGCAATTTACAGTTAATCTTCAACTCTTCTTGATGGCAATTTCTGCCATAATAAAATGACTCACGCCCAGACTAAATATTTATTGCTGGAATGAAGAAAGCTAGGGAGTGGACTGGGAAAACCAGGAGTGGATTTTTCTGCGGAAGGGCAATGGACTTTATTTCATTCCGGAGCCCAAATTACTAGGCTCAGAATTATTCTGTTTCATCCACCCCGAGGTGTGGAAATCGCTCTACCCCAGTCCCCCCCCCAAAAAAAGAGAGTAGTTCTGATGCCAGACAAAAAGGAGCAGGGTCGGGCCGATTCGTGATCTGCCCTGCGTCGTGCGGTTGTTGGGAAACACCACGCACTGGACTGTGCCACAAGCGGTCCAAAAATTGAGCCTATCTGATAATACCCAAAACTGATGATGCTGGACTATCAGAGCAATGGTCTGTTTCAAGGCGCTTTCCTATGTTCCAGGTGTGTAGCTCAGGGAGGACTTGACTCAGGGATACGAGAACAACTGTTTCGCATTCCGAATGCTTCCTGGTTCAGTTCTCCACCCTGCCGTTGCAAAAAAGAGAGACCGGGTGTTAAGAAACACCGTCCCGTGCCAGAGTGTCTGGGCACCTAACGCTGGTCAAGAACAGACAACGATCGGATAGATTAATCGGAACTGCAGAATCAGGAGCGTCCCTTAAAGGTCATCTAGTCCAGCCCACAAAATGCAGAAGATCCTGTGAGGCAGAGAAGCCGCCAAAGATGGAACTCCACACAAGCTGCCAAGGGTGCCTCCAAAGCTATCACGGCACAATCTGGGATATGCACGGATCCTGTTTCAGTCCGATATCTGATGGGCTCGAGCCGAGTCAGGCCCATCGAATCTGGAACTGAAACCGCATCCACGCGTGTTTCTAACGGCGAGCCGTCTTCCACCGATCCAAAGATGGATTCCAGAATCTTCCCCCCAAAAATGCTCTAAAACGTGCATGCAGGGAAAAAGCACACCTTTCAAATCAGCACAAAACTGTCGTAAAACGCACGCGAGAGCCGAACGGATTTCCTCTCTAACTCACTAGAGGGAAGGCCGAGTATAAATCTCGCGGACGAAAATAAATAAATGCCTGATGTGCACGTCCTACGACAACCCTTGCAAAAAGACGACGACCATCCCCTTCTTTGGTCTCTTCCCCAGGGAAAAGTGGAAATTTTGAACACAGCCTCAGCAGCAGCTGCTGCGCGATTTTGCTTCCGTCTCATGCTTCCCCCCCCCCCTTTCTGGTGTTCTCAGCTCCTGGGAAACGAGGATGTCTCATCTGTTTTTAGAACCCCCGGAGCTGTTTCTCACAGGAAAAAAAAAAGGGGGGGGGATATAAATTTATGTCAGAGGAAAGCAATGTCCTTTATTGTTTCTTAACATTCGCGCGGCATCTTCTGCAGCTATGGAGAGGTATAATTGGCCTCATTATGCACCAAATATTTCATGCTTCCTTAACTCGAATAACTCACAAGGTACAGAGCGAAAGAATAATTTGTTCCTTCCCCCTGAGAGAATAAAAGATATTTGTGGACTGGGTGGACTGCGAGGGGTGACAGAGGAGAAATCCCAAAGCTTCAGGCTCTCTTGGAAATTCTTGCCCGAGCAATAAGGTCAAAGGCACTCTGGACATGTTCAGAGGCACTCTGGGTCAGAACGGAATCCACGAACCAAGAAGCCTGAGCAAAACCCACTGTTTTTCCCCTAGATTTTCCTAGAAGGGGGAATTTCGCTGGACAAGGTTTGGTCCCTGCTTCGCAAACCGATTGTCGCTAGACGACAATTTTGACAGCTCCCTCGCGCTTGCAAAATGGGTGTTTTCGGGACCTAAGCTTCGCAAGACAGCGATTTAAACAGCTGATCGGCGGTTCGCAAAGCGGCTTTCCTATGGCCGATCTTCGCTCGACAACGACGATTCTTCCCCACTGGAACGCATTAAACAGGTTTCAATGCATTCCAATGGGGAAATGCTTTTCGCTAGACGATGATTTCGCTAAACAGCGATTTCAGTGGAACGGATTGTCATCGTCTAGCGAGGCACCACTGCATTTCTATTTCTGGGAGTGGGAAACCCCACAGCAGGTGGGGTCCTGCGGAAGAGGAAAGTTGGTCACTCAGCTCTGAAAACTCGCCCTTCCTGATGTGATGGATTAAAAGGACCACGTAGGGTTACTGACCGGTCAGTGGTTCTCTCAGAGTGGATGGCGTATTCCTTCCAAGAGCTGTGGAGATCAGCCATCATCAGTCCAACATCATCCCTGCAACCACCCATTTCTCATCCTCTCTGGGTTTTGGTGATAGTTCTCAGGCCAGAAAGGAAAGGGACCCCTTTGTATTAATACAATATTCATTAATAAGGTATTAATACAAGTCCATCCAGGGTAGCTCAGCTCCGAATCCAAAGGTTAGATTCTGAAGAAGGAGCAAAGAAAAAGCCCTCAGCAATCCTTACACCCTTGTCCAACATGTCTTGGGCAATCCTATGAGCGGAAGAGGGTTAACGAGGATGGACATGTTAATGACGCCGGATGAATCCTTTAAATCGTATTTTATTGCAAAGACCTGCCAGCCTAGTCTCCCTTCCTCGCCACCATGCCAAGGATCAACACAACTAGAGATACGCAGAATCGGGAAGTGGAGAGCGGTTGGAGGACAGCTGCCAGAATTCCGGGACATGTCATCCCAAAACGCCCAGAATGCTGGGATTTGTAGTCCGAAAGGACAAACCTGCACGCCTGTCATTTACAACAGAGGAATAATCCATTTCTCTCTTCATAGATACCACTCCTTGTTCCCCGGGGCAGGTGACAATAAGTAATTAGAAAGAACGAAGATGTCTAGGATAATGTACAGAGTGCCTCTAGGCATGTACAGATTGCTTCTTTTTCCATGTCTAAGCAACGGCCTCTCCTTCTCCTTACATTTCATCTAGAGCATGGAGGGGGAATACTCCGAGCTCCAGACGCCGGCAGACGACGAGTCCTATCAGACCAGCTCAGGGCAGGGGCGATGGTCATTGTAGTCCCCACGCCCCCCCTCGTCCTTGCTGCGGCACCTCGGTTTCCACACCTCCGTTTTGCGGAGCGTGTCATTCGAACGCTGCCTGTTCCTCTCCCGACGTAAAACTATCTCTGCTTAGTTTAATAAATCACCTTTTAAATCGGCCAAGGAGACTTTCAATAATAGATCAGGACAGAAAACAGAAGGGGGGGCCCTCCATTGGCCGGATATTCGGGAAGGGCAAGAACTAGCAATGCCACCTGCCCGCCTGCCCGCCCGCCCCCCCAGAGAATGCCAGCGCCTGACATTGCTGCCAAGGGTGTTATTTATATCTTAGCCACGTAAACTATCTCTGCCAGTCGCCGACTTTTTCTGAAGGGCAAACGGAGCTGTGTCATATCTTAACAGGAACTGTGAGGAGGGAAAAGAAGGGCGGAAAAAAAAAACCCAAGATCCGAGGAGGAAATCAAGGCAACAAACAAGCAAGATGACACCGTGGTACTTTCTTTCTAAGGCAGGATTGGGTGGCACGACGCTGGGTTCAATGAGAAGGGCAGGAGAGGAGGACGGGTGGACGGAGCCGAGCCGGCGCACCGTGTTTTGATCCGAACTGAAGGGATAGGCATTGCCATTGAGACGGAAAAGGAGACAGCAGGGAATGAACCACACACACACACACACACCTCTGACTATAGTACCTAGTCTGCAGAAGGGTTGCGTCTTCAAGGTCACACAGAACCCTTCTTCTGACCGCTCACTTTGATTTGGAGGGAAAAAAACAGTGGGACAGCATCCACAAATGGGCTCACGGGAAGCCAGATTTTGGCTGAAGATCAGGGAAAACTTCTTAACTGTTAGAGCCGCACGACAGGGGAGCCCATGACCTCAGAGGGAGGTGGTGAGCTCTCCAACGCTGGAGGCCTACGAGGGAAAATCAGACCGCCATCAGTAAGACACAAGTTGGGTCCCTGCCCTGAGCAGCGGGTTGGACTCAATGACCTTATAGGTCCCCTTCCAACTCAATGATTCTCTGATTCTATAATTCTAGGTTCCCTAATTTGGATCCTGGCATCACTGGCCAAGCCACTGGTGACAAGAAAGTCCTGTATTCGTTGGAGGCGCTGGTGAGTGACGGCTAATGAGAGAGGCCAACTGGAGCTTAATGGACCACTAGATTGGTTTGGTTTAATTATTTTATTGGTTATGTCAATATCCAACCTTCCTTGTAATCCTCTCAGGACATGATATACAAAGCTCTCCTTATCTCTGTGATACTTCCACAACCCTCCTGTGATGTAATAGTTTTAGACATCGGAGATAAAATATATACACACGTTTAACACCCATCTCAGTGGACTCAATATTAGCCAAGGTTTCTTAGGTCACTATAAAACGTATCATATTGTGTTGGTTCTGGTGAAATTCCCAGCTCTATTTCCGTACTGTCTCCCACTGCCACGTCACAACCCCCACGGGGGGATCATAGATACTCGTTACAATATTGTTCCTGTTCATTCTCTATGGTCTGGGATTAATTTAGCCACCAATCATTATCGTCATTTAGAGAGCAATGCTTCCTGGCAGGGGAATGGCATACAGAAAGGGGTTTTAAAGGTTATTCTCAGGTCAACAACTTGTGCTCAAATACAAACCTCTGGTTTGGGGGCATGTAATAAATGTACAAATATTTGCCCTTTAGTCCCACTTATAGGTCTGCGGAAGTGGATTTGTCCATGAAAGCTCGCATTAAAATATAACCGTTTTAAGGGGATTTGTCCATGAAAGCTCGCATTAAAATAGAACTGTTTTAAGGGGCCACAATGTTTTCGTCTTCTTTATTTTTTCTACTCTTCTTTTGCCTGTGAATATACTAGCTCGCTAGACGATGATAATCCGTTCCACTGAAATCGCTGTCTAGTGAAATCATTATCTAGTGAAAAGCAAATCATCATCTAGCAAAAATCGGTTTGCGAAGCAGGGGCCAAACATTGTTCCATAGGAATCGCTGTTTTGCGAATCGCTATAGCGATCGCAAAAAGTCAATGTCTAGCGAAAAAACTGTCATGCGGGGTCACTGTCGAGTGAGGCACCACTGTAAACTGAGAAAATAAAACTGGCTTCAACTGGGGGGGTGTCTCAAAACAAGATTTCCCAAGTCTCATTTGGTAAATCCTAACCATTCGGCTGCCCCAGACAATTTCCCCCCTTATTTGTGGGGTCACTGTCTAGCGAGGCACCACTGTAAACTGAGAGAATAGAACTGGCTTCAACTGGGGGGTGTCTCAAAACAAGATTTTCCAAGTCTCATTTGGTAAATCCTAACCAGTCGGCTGCCCCAAGCAATTTCCCCCCTTATTCGCTTCATCCCACAAATCAGTTCGCTCTCAAAGCCAACACACCCCATGTGCCCACAACACACACCGGTGTCAATTCCGCAGGACTCTTTTTATTTGAGAATCAAAGTAAATCTAAACTAAATCATAATACTCCGATTTCCGGTCTCCCAATCCCGAGAACAGCAATCCTGGACTGGATGGCTAAAGCAGGCTGTCACTATTTCTCCGTCAGGTTCTTACGCTCTTATGAATCTGGGAAAGAGAATTTAGAGACAAAGACCATTGCTAAACGGAGCAGAGCACCTTGCTTTACAAGGCGGACAGTTGTGAGTTCAATCCCTGGCATCGCCATGGAGAGAGATCCTTGGCAGACATGAACCTGGCGTCAAATATAAGGGACTTTCCCCAGTCCCCGGGCGTAGGTCACCTAACAAAAAGGAAGACGGTTGAGAGGAGGGTTTATTCTAAGCCATCTCTCAATGGGTTCAGAGCAAGAGCCGGCTTTCTGCTACATCCGTGCCAAATTGGGTGCCGATCCAAGATCCGGTTCCATGTTTATAATTCTTTTTGTTTGGGTCGCGCCTAGTCTGCGAGTTGGCTCACGGAACGCGGAAGGTGGCTGGCCGCAGAACGTGTCATCACCCACCCGGGGCACCGATAACAGGGCATCCAAAGGGCAGTGAGGGTGTTCGAAATACAGGCCAGCTCAGCTTTGCTAATCCAGGGGGGAGGTCAAAAGATGCTTTCCCCCCCTCCCCAAAAAAAGGAAACCCGCCTGGCTGGAGACCCCAGAAATGGCCAGAGTTTGAAGTTTGAGCTCAGTAGCCGCGGTCTGGCATCTTTACGCTTTACCAAGCCTGTGATTCGAGTCCCGACACCTGGAGCGGGAGGTCTGGTTCCCAGCGAACCTGGCCCTGAGTTCCAGCCGTGGCCACCCTCCTGAGATGTGGGACTACAACTCCCATCACCCCCAGTGGACGGACACACCAGCTAGCCGAAGCCCAGCCGGGAAAGCGGGAGGTGAGGACGCCCGCTCGAGGTGCGCAGCAGCTGTTACCTCCGCCGGCACCTTCTTTCTATGATTATTTTGTGCCAGAATTTGAAAAATATATCTCAGGGCTCAAGGCCAGAGCACACCTGCCATTTAAAGTCACCTGCACAGGTGGTTCGCAGTTCTTGAATTCCAGTTCAGGCAGCGAAGAAAGACGCAGGGGCGTTTGCCAAAACAGGATCCCCGCTGACGTCCACCTCCGGAGAATTTTGGGGAGGGAGTCGAGCGTCCGCCGAAGTCAGCCCTCTAAGCCGAATGCACAGAAGAGGGAGAAACGCAGCTCAGATCAGAGGAACCCACACACACACACCCGGGTGCCTCCTGAGCAGCGTCAGGCTCCCCCAGCCTTCCAAGCACGCGAGCGATGCTTCCTCGAGCTGTCTGAAAGAATAACCCCAACCACTCAAAAAATTAATCGGCCTGCGGAGAATATTAATCCCTCTCTGGCAAAAGAGGCTGACCCAAATGGGACGCCTTCGATCGTGGGATTATGTGCCGCCGGGAAGGGAGGGCGGAGAAGGGAAGGGGTGGGAACACTGGTGTATCCGATAAGGATCAGGGGCTGCCTTTATCCCAGCCCCCCCCCGGGTCTCTCGGCAACCCAGTGCTTTCTATCGCCGTCAAAAGCGCTTGGTTGGGCCTTCAGATGGCATCTTTTTGGGGGACACCGAAAAAAAACGGAACGCGCAAGCTATCATTTGAGTTGTGGAATTTCCTCTTCGTCACTATTTAACAGGTGAAGCCTCTGTTTATTTCTTCTTCGAAGGAAAACGACACGGAATCCAAGCACATCTCGCAAAAACCGCACAGGATCCCTGAGACCATCTAGTCCAACCCCACACCGACACCTGCTCAGGGCAGCGCCTGAAATGCAAACAGGTGGCGGTTTGACGACCCGGAGGAAGACTTCCTGTGGCGGGCTGTTCCAATGTCTAACAAATCTTATCAGTAGGTACTTTCCTGTGTAATGTCTATGAATGCGCTATGCGCCATCAAGTCGCAATCAGAGTAGAGAGATTGTGGGATCCAAAGTAAGTGAGCCATTTAAGGAGTGATTTGACCAGTTCCACACCCACCCCAGTGAGCCTCGACGGCCGAGGTGGGATTCGAACCCAGGCCTTCCTGAGTCTTACTCGCTTAGCATATTTACTACTTCCCAGCAATTTTGGACCAGGGGGTTCTAATCCAGTCCCACCTCCTTCCCCTTTCTTTTGTGTCACCTTTTTGCTTCAAAAATCAGTCCTGGATCAGAAAGCACTTTCCAGCCGCTGGTGTGAGGGGCCAGAATGCCCCCAGAACATGCAGGCTACCTTCTTAATTAACGTGGCTAACGAGAAGTCCAGAAGACCTCCGCATCAACAGCCTAGTCTCACCCTGGCCAACTAAACGCCTCTGGGAAGCTCACAGGAAGGGTGGGAATACGACATTACCCGTCCATGCACCTCACAAGCTGGTCTTCAGACATACGACCGAACGACTGTGCTTTTCTTTAAATGACTATTATTAAGTTAAGAATCAATTAACTGACTGTCTATTTTGCATGACAAGTCCCCATAAAAACACAGGCAGACCTATCGGGCAACGAAGGTGACATTCAACACATTGGATGGAGTGTTTCTACAATCCAGAAGCGCCGGACGCCAAGATTTTATGGTCTTCAACAAAAAAACCAAAGCCATTCAATGACTCTCAGAATGGACTTCATGATGCTTTTATCTAAATCCCCTGAGGTTTCAACTCAACAAAATGCCTTTATAAAGAAAACAGTGCTTTTGACCAAGGGAAACTTCTAATCCAGCAGGACTGCCTTCTATCCTAGTTTCGGCGAAACCTGTTCTCTCCAGATGTGTGACACTACAAGGCCCATCACTCTTGAGAACGGAAATCATCTGGATCAGGACCACAGCATGAGACAACGGGTTTATGTCACTTACCGCTCCCCCACGGGCCTCCGTTCCACGCCGACTCCTCTTTTCCTTTTTTAAAAGTCAATCAGGCAATAAATAGTAAACTGTATAAATGTCTCTCTCCCATTTTTGTAATAAAAAAAAAAGTACGCCTCTCGTTGTTAAGGCTGAGAAGGATTCTCAAATGCCAGAGAGGGTGGGAAGCTAGTCAGATCTCTGAGGATTGAGGAAAACGAGCATCACGGCCGTGACGTATCCGGCATCGCAAATTCCCCCACCTCCTGCATCAAAAAGCAGATTTAAAAATAACGATGTGTCAACCTGCAGAAGCAGAAATGAAAACGAAGTGGTCCTATTTTGGGCGCAGGATGAGAAGGCCAGATTTGTTGGAAAAGCCAATTCATGCCGGGGAAAATGGGAGGAGGCAGGAGGAGAGGAAGGCCCAATACAAGATGGACGGATTACCTAATAGAAGCCATGGGCTTGAATTTGCAAAGATCCGAGCAAGGCTGTGGGAGACACATGACACCTTTGAGGTTGGTCGTTTGTAGACTCAGTGGCGGCACAATTTACCCACCCACCCCCCTCTGTGGCTGGATAATTTTATAGTACTGTAATTCATAACTTGCCAACACCAGGGGCATCTCGCTATCCGCTCTGCATCTCTGGATTGTTCCCAAAATGTCCTGTGCAAAGTTCTAGCCTGGAGTCAGTAAGAGCAAAAGCTACATTTTTTGGGAGGGGGGGCTCCTTGGAACAAACATACACCCCCCAAGATGCCAACAATCAAACGCAAAGATGCCAGCAACCAAACCCAAAGACCCACACCCTCTCTCTTGCCTAATCTCCCAGCTCCACCTCTGGCCATGCGCAGAGTGCCCTCTCCTCCTAATCCATCCCACTCAAGACACAACAGATTAGGGGGGGCAGTGCCCAGATCCTAAAGGGGGGGGCAGAGTGGAACCAGCAAACCGACATTAGCATCCAAAGTACAGTATTCTTGAAGGCTGAATTATTATCCAAAGCTGAATTTATTCACCCATGTTGCTTTTGGCTTCTCCTTGCACCTTCAACCTGGCCACGCTGCCATCTACACACACACACACACAAATAAATCACACACATAGACAGACACACACACCATTAGCCCTGGAGGGAAGCAACTGGGAAGCTGCCAGTATAAAAACGCTTCTTAGCCTTTCCCATTCATGCCCCATGGAAGGAAAACGCCACTCTTCCTTGGCCAGCTTCTTTAATAGGATCCCCGAATCCCCAAATTTAGGTACCCCGATGGTCCACCTCCACACCTGCAGGGCGACCCCCCCAAATCCCCCTGCCCTCCCCCGCACGGGAAGCCCTTCCCCAAAGCTCCCGGCTGGGGCGCAATGGATGGGGACCCCGAAGGCATGCCAGGCGCGCAAACCCGACTAGGTTTTAGTGGCCGCGAAAAGCCCTTCTTCTTTGGGGGGGGGGGCGCGCACCGCGTCTTACTCGTGAGTAAAGAGCCAGGCGTG